TTCGGCACATCTTTTGAGTATTTGCGCTTTAGTCCTCCAACTTTCAATTGTCTTCATTTCAGTCCCTCTTCAATATTTTCTTCTTCCATTTGTTTTGCTTTGTCATTGAGCTCATACTTGGCATGTTTTCACTCTCGTTTTACATTTAGCTCAACTTTTCAATATTTGTACCTTTGGTCCTCGAACTATCAAATTGTTGCGTTTTGGTCCTTCTTCGGCTCTTTTCTCCTGAATTCCACAATTTTCATTGAATTACCTACAATGCATGAATTTAACTGGATTAAATCACAATTCAACCATTTTATCCATGTTTAAGTCATGTTTATGAACCAACTAAGTGTGTAAAAACACACTTATCAAATTCCCCAAACTTAAACTATTGTTTGTCCTCAAACAATGCAGTGACTCAGAGTTAAACAAACATGGCTTAATAGCTTGCCGTGTCTCAGGATTGGAACTTAGCAATACACTAGAACAATGTCAATATTGCAAGAAAAAAGTTATGATAAAAAGATTGAATGTTGTACAGTGCAATCGAACCTGAAGGCAGCGCCCAGGCTCTATGTTTCAGATTTTTTCCTGAAAGTTAGCGCTCAGGAGCCCAATCAATCGCACAGCCTAGGCGCCTCGCTGCCGCCAAATAGAGTTTTCAAGTGAAATTCATTTTTTTAAAAGTCCAACTCAACTAAAACACTTCCAAAACTTGAAAAAGAGAGAAATAAAATCCTGGAGAAGACAATTGGGGGGATTCACATATGGGGAGCCTCTTTTATTCATAAAAACACCTTAAAAATATTGGAGGGAGAATTCATAGGGGCAAAAGATCAAGAGATTGAATCTACTCATTATGAGGAAAACACATGCAATTGGAGATTGTAAGGCAGGATTGGATTCAAGGGAGAAAAACATCAAGCAATCCAAGTTTGGAAGCATAAATTGAAAGAGGAAGAAGATCTTGGTACAAGATTGATTTCTTATTCTATATTCTTATTCAAAATCCGATGATGTCTTCCATAATAACTTATTATTTTTCTTTCATTACTATGAGTAGCTAAATCTAATTTTAAGGTGAACAGTGTAACCAATTTGTGATTCTTTATTTTTTTTATTCAAGTTCATCTATGCATATGTATTGATTCTAATCATGTTCTCTGTGCTTTGAATTTTCTGGCCAATTATTCAATGATTTTGTGAAAAATAATCACGTAGAGATGCGGATTCTTTATTTAGACCACATATTAAAATCCGGTAAATTAATATAATATATAGAGATATCTATATTAATTACTGCGGTCATAAATGAATTCTTAGAACTATTATTTCGTTTAACTAAGTTTGATTCGCATAGAGATATGGAGTTGAAGTGGTTAAATAGGCTCAATGAAAACTCGAGAGTGGTAAATTGAATACAATAGGAGAATTCGACCGAACAGTACCTTAGATTTTATGAATCTTGATTTATGACTTAAAGGTAATCAATAGGTGAAATTGTTTCACCCTAATATCCATTTATTACTTGAATTCTCAGTCATTCTCTATGTGTATCCACGTATTGTTAGGTAGTTAGATTCAAAATCATAACAAATCATTATTCTTGTTTATTTTCATCAAATAGAAGTTAGAAATAATAAATTGAGTATTAAAGTATAATCCTCATGGAAAATTATAATTCGGACTCAAAATGTCGACTTTACTACTTGTTACGATCCGTGCACTTGCGGGATATAAAATCGACAAGTTTGTGGTGCCGTTATCGGGTACTATTACTATTAATTTTAGTTTTAATTTATTTTATTTTTAACAGTTATTTGATTTATTTATTTTCTTTTATTTACAGAAAAAAGGTGTTCGTTTTATGCTCCATATCCAAGACGATGATCTTAAACCGTTTGATTCAGAAATAGAACATACTTTCAAACAAAAAGGCAAATAACACAAACAAAAACAACAATATCAAATGACTGATAATCAACATATTCTTATTCCTATTCAGCCAATTGCACAAGTGGCTACAAAAGCAGCGGTATCACAAGAACAGCAGCATGAGCAAATAGAAATAAATGAAGGAGATTTGCCAGTCTAAATGTTCTGACACCTATATCAGCACCCACGTGCTCCAGCATTGTGTATCCAAATTTTGGGGTTAATAATTTTCAGATCAAGCCATATTGGATTAACTTGATGAACAACACTCTCCAATTTTATGGGTTACCTCATGAAAATTCGAACATTAATATCTCCAGATTTCTCAGGAACTGTCAAAACTTCCATGCTTTGGGAGTTAATGAAGATGCTAATAAATTGCGATTATTCTCATTTACACTAAGAGATGCTGCATTGGAATGGTTAGATGCGGAGCCTCATGGGAGTGTTATTACATGGAAAGAACTTACTAGAAAATTTTTCAACAAATTCTTCCCACTGACAAAAGTAGCTAAAATCAGATTAGAGATTCAAACATTTCAACAGAAAGATGGAGAAAGCTACCATGAAGCATGGAACAGATTTAATGAGCTGATGAGAAAGTGTCCAAACCATGAGATTACTATAGGCAATCAAGTGTAATACTTCTACACCGGACTTACACCGCTGTCAAAATCTCAAGTAGATGTCTCTGTTGGTGGGTCAATTATAGGAAAATCAGTGCAACAAACCTAAGACCTGTTTGAGTTAATTGCCACCCCACGTTCATTGTTCTCATCAGAACTATTGGTACCACCAAAAGCAGTTGGAATATATGAATAAGACAACATGACTTCCACAAATGCACATATTGATGCTTTAATAAAGCAGGTGGAAATACTTGTAAAATTGCAAACACGTGGAGCAAATGCAGTGATGGCTAGTTCAACTTGTGAGAATTGTGGGAAAAATCATGCTACAAAAAATTGCTTGATGCTTGCTTCTTCGGAGGAACAAGTAAATTTTATTCAAAATGGCTCCCATAATTTCAACTCATATGGGAACAATTTCCGCTAAGAAAGAAGACCAAGTTTGGCGAAGATGTTTCAACAATATGTGCAGAAGACGGACAAAATGTTCCAACAAATTGATACAAACTTTCAAAATCAATAGGCACCATCAAGAAACTAGAAACACAAATTGGTCAAATAGCGCAATAACTTGCAGAACACCTACAAGGGACATTGCCATGCAATACAATGATAAATCCTAAGGATCAGCTGATGGCAATTAAAGTAGTGGACTCCACCCAGGGCCTCCGTGAAAGTTAAATCATATGTATCCCTACTTCCTTTTTCCAAAGACTTTGAAAGAAGTCGACGGAGCAAAATATTCATGTCATAAATACAAAGAGTAAGATACAATCGCTAGAGATTACTATAGAGAGACCTAAAAGAAAAGATAACCAGAAAGTGAACAATGAAGCTACAGTAGTAGAAAAATCTGCACCAATCGCAACTAAAAATAGAGAAAGTACAAAGACATTAGCTGCCAAAGCACTAAGTCCGGGCAAAGCTTACATGCCTTATATTCCTTTTCCTTGAGGGCTTAAGAAGAACAAAAAAGACACAAGTTATGAAAATTTTCTCGATATTCTCAGAAAGCTTCAGATCAATGTTCCATTTGTTAATGCGATACTGCAAATTCCAATCTACGCAAAATTTTTGAAAGAGATGTTGACAAAGAAAGGAAAGCTTCTGGAGTTTGAAACTGTATGATTAATTGAGGAAAGTAGTGCAAGAGTTCTAAGCAAATTGCCTTCCAAATTGAACGATCCAAATAGTTTTACTTTACCAATTTCAATTGGAAATTCCTGTTCAATTAATGCATTGTGTGACACAGGTGCTAGTATCAACCTAATGTCGTATTCTGTTTATGGGAAATTTGGATTAGGTAAAGTCAGACCAACATCAATAACGCAGCAACTAGCTGATAAAACAATTTCAAAGCCACGTGACAAAGTTGGGGATGTACTCATAAAAGCAAAAAATTTAATATTTCTAGCGGACTTCATTGTGTTGGACATACCAAAAGATCGAGACATTCCAATTATACTGGGTCTGCCATTCTTAGCGACGGGACGAACCTTGATTGACATGGAAAAATGTGAGCTAATATTTGACGTGGAGGACAAACAAGAGATATTCAATAACTACACCCAATATGAGCAACCCTCAACATCAAAAGTTGTTATAAGGTAGATGAAGAAAAGCCACCTAATCAATGAGGTTGCCAGAAAAGAAAATCAAATTTTGGTGGACTTCTTTGTAGGGATAAAAAGGGAAATATCAAAATATGAAAAACCAAGGAAGGGTGCATAAACGAGAATTGCACAAAGTGCAAGGATGAAATAATTTGTTTCGAGCCACCGTAATCAATCTTGGCAACAAGTAAAGCTAATGACTTTAAAGAAGCGCTTTTTGGAAGGCAGCCTAAGCTTTTATTTTATTTTATTGATTTTGTTTTCAAAGTTCTAGAATAGTTTAATTTATAATTTATTCAAGATCAATCACCCATACCCCCTTCCACCCATAGGTCTTTGAGTAATTAAGTTGGTTATTAAATGTTTAAGCTAAGTAACCCTTGTTCCATGAGTTAAATTTTTCAAATTTGATTTTTCAGGAACATAACATCACGGAACACTCAAACCAACATGGACATGGAGAGAATGAGACAAATCTCAAGTCTGGTGGGAGAATGTGGAAGAAGAGTCAATCAAATGCAACACCAAGACACCACAACATCATGGACAATATTGACATTTCAGGAAAGTCCTACTGTCCCTTTAATTTAACATTAAGGACAATGTTTAGTTAAGTTTGGGGAAGTGAATTATTGATTACCTAATTACCTACCTAAAATTTTTGTGTGAGTTGGACAATTTGGCTTACAATTACGTTTTATTTTGAGATTTGGTGTTGATTTATGAACTGTGGATATGATGCATGCTTGATTGAAGTTTAACCTTGCAAAACTTGATATTATAAGTGCACTAAAATTGAATTTGACACTGTGATGAAACAGCTAATTCATTTGTTAGATAGGTTAATTTAATTGGACATAGATGCTTTACCTAAACCATAGTAAACTATTTATCCCTAGACCAAAGTTAGCATATTTTGAGGATGACTTTACAGCTGTAGAAAGATGCAGATGTGAAGTTTGATTCATGTGTGAAAACTGATGCGTGGATTGTCTTAAACTAACATAATAAAACTAGGCGAAAGTCTTTAGTTGGAGGTCAGTTTGTTTGAATAAGTGTGTGATGGGTATTGCACTAATCAAGGCATATATATTTGAAATCTAAAAACTTTTCTTTAAAGTCTTCATGACTCGAGTAATTAAGCTTGCAAGGGTATCTTAAAATCTAGTACCCTAAAGTCCTCTGACTTGGGAGTCATCGATCTAAAACACGCTACAGGTGTCATTTATAAGGCAATAATGCACTAATCAAGGTATATACATTTGAAGTCTAAAAACTTCTCTTTGAAATCTTCATGACTTGAGTAATTAAGCCTGAAAGGGTATCTTAAAATTTGGTACCCTAAAGTCATCTGACTTGGGAGTCATCGGTCTAAAACTTGCTACAGGGGTCATTTAGAAGGCAATCAAAGATGGTGCTGCACTTAAAACAAAAATTGGTTCTCTTTAAAGTTTTTTTGACTCGAGTCAGTAAGTCTGTAAGGGTTTTTAAAACCCGGTGCCCTAAAATGATCTAATTTGAGAATCATCGACCTAAAGCCTCTACATGAATCATCTAGAAAGCTTAATGGAGAGAATAAAAAAAAATTGGGAAAAATAGAAAAAGAAAGTGCATGAAAAGAGCAAAGCACTAAACGTCTTGGTTGAGCCCTAACACTTATTTTAGGGAATTTAACTTTTGATGAAAGATAATTAGCTAGTTGAGTCGTGGTGGTCAAAGCAATCAAATAATTGGAGAATCTCTATTCACTGAAGTGTTGACTTGCAACTAGTAACGTTCACATGAACTCAAGAGGGTAGGGGTAGTAATAAAATATTCAATCTTAGATTACATACTGGGAATGAGTGAAAAAGTGTACATTGCGGGTGTATGAATCACACGAGAAATGTAAGGATATATTTGACCACAAAGGGTCGAGAATCGAAACAACTTGTACAGTCATGGTTGATTCGCACTGGAAGAGTAGATATTAATTTGGTATTGTGACTTGAAGCATGTTTGTGGAATAAACATCAAAATCTCGAATCCAAAGGTAAAAAGCTTGATTGTTCAACCAATTATCCTTTGCATGTTTGTGTGTTCGTAGTTATTTAGATGATAATTTTGTTTGAGGACAAACAAATGTTTAAGTTTGGGAGTATTTGATAAGTGTATTTTATACACTTATTCAATGCTTTAAAATGATGATATTTAGTTGCTTCTCAGATAAATTATAGTCTAAATTATTACATTTGGTGCTGAATAGGTAAATTTCAATTACGGTACAAGAAATTGAAGGAAATAAGCAAAAGTGGACAAATTAGAGAAAAATGGCTAATTGTAAGAGGTCTAAAGTTTAGGGACTAAAATGAAAATACGTAAAAGTTGTGTCGAACCTCACGATGAAGATTCAAGAGTGCTCAGAGTCAATTGGATAAAGAAAGACATCAAAGGGATGAAATATAATCAGAGTATGATCACACATCAAGTTCCAACCGAAAAAATTTATATACCATTTTCAAACTCATATTGAAACCCTTTTTTACGTGGTAAATAATCAAATTTGAAAATGATATCAAGAGCAAAATTATAGCCCTTTGAGTTAGCTTTTCAACACATCTTAAATCATCTCAATCGGACATCGAAAGAAAAAGTTATGATAAAAAGATTGAATACAGTGCAGTGCAATCGAAACTGATGGCAGCGCCCAGGCGCTATGTTTCTGATTTTTCCCGAAAGTCAGGGCTCAGGCGCCCAATCACAGCGCCTAGGTGCCTTGCTGCTGTCAAATAGGGTTTTCAAGTGAAATTCATCTTTTTAAAAGCCCAACTCAACTAAAACTCTTCCAAAACTTGAAAAAGAGATAAATACAACCCTGAAGAAGACAATTGGGGGATTCACACATGGAGACCCTCTTTTATTCATAAAAACACCTCAAAAATATTGGAGAAAGGAGAAAATTCAATGGGCAAAAGATCAAGAGATTGAATTTAGGAGAGAATTCAAAGGACAAAAGACCAAGAGATTGAATCTACTCATTAAGAGGAAAACACATGCAATTGGAGATTGAAAGGCAGGATTCAAGGGAGAAGAACATCAAGCAATCCAGGTTTTGAAACATAAATTGGAAGAGGAAGAAGATCTCGATGCAAGATTAGTTTCTTATTCTATATTCTTATTCAAACTGTGATGTCTTCCATAATAACTTCTTATTTTCTTTTATTACTGAGTAGCTAAATCTAATTTTAAGGTGAACAATCTAACCTATTTGTGATCCTTTATTTCTTTTATTCAAGATTCAAGTTCCTTTATGCGTATGTATTGATTCTAATTATGTTCTTAATGCTTTGAATTTTCTGGCCAGTTATTCAATGATTTCATAAATAATTATTATATAGAGATGCGGATTCATTCAATGATTTCATAAATAATTATTATATAGAGATGCGGATTCTTTGTTTAGACCATATATTAAAATCCGATAAATTAATATAATGTTTAGAAATATCTATATTAATTACTGCGATTATATATAAATTCTTAAAACTATTATTTCATTTAACTAAATTTGATTCGCATAGAAATATGGAGTTGAAGTGGTTAAATAGGTTTAATGAGAACTCGAGAGTGGTAAATTGAATTCAATAGGAGAATTTGATCGAATACTATCTTAGATTTTATGAATCTTGATTAAATACTTAAAGGTGATCAATATGTAAAATTGTTCCGCCCTAGTATTCATTTATTATTTGAATTCTCAATTATTTTTTGTGTGTATCCACGAATTGTTAGATAGTTAGATTCAAAATCATAACCAATCATTGTTCTTGTTTATTTTCATCAAATAAAAGTTAGAATTAATAAATTAAGTATTAAAGTATAGTTCTCGTGGGAAACGATAATCCGGACTCAAAAAGTCCACTTTATTACTTATTACAATCCGTACACTTGCAGGATATAAAATCGACAACAGTCACCATCATCTTTCTTACAATGCAACCAGTCACCATCATCTTTCTTACAATGTTGCCAATTAACTAAGCACTACATATTTAAATCCAGTAAACAACAATTGGAGCATTCGTCTGAAATCTCTAAACCCTCTTTATTATCTGAATATTTAGTATTAATTCTTTTTTCGGATTGTACGAAAATTGCACTAAATTAGGTCAAGAGAGGAAATGTCTATTTTTATTAGTAACCAAAACATAATTGCATCATTTTATTTTTCATAAAAATGAATTTTTTTGGAGTGTTTGGCTGATATGGAAAATATTTTTAATATTTAATCATATTTTCCTAAAAAAAAAAAGGGTGCCGATATTTATATTCACAGTTTTTATATATGCATCCCACTCTATATACCTCCCTAATAAAATATTAAAATTTAAAAAAATTATTATTTTCATCCACGTCAAATTTCAATATTTTTCTTATTAAATTCATTCATTTAAATATTATAGATTCATACAAATTTTATATATTCATCTCAATATAAATACATTCCTAATATAATTTCAAATTTTTTTAAAAAATCACTACATTCATTCAATCACTATCAACATTTAATCTGATACTTACTTTTCATTTTCTATATTGTCATATCGATGCTTTAATATTTGGTTATAAAGGTTAGCAAATCTTTTTTCTTGAATGTATAGGATTCTATCAAGAATATACTACTCAAGCAACTAAACAAATCAATCCTAAAATCATATATTAATAATTTTTTTTGCTTATATGCTCGAATTTTGGTTGTTTGTGTTTAATTTTTGTTTCCTTTTGTGATTTAAGATTATTTGGACAAATATTGAAACTTCTTTTGAAATTTCTCGTATATTTTCATCTGTCAAACCAATACTTAAAAAGCACAAAAAATAATATTTCATTTTTCATATCATAAAGGAATTATAACTCTAATAATGTGTTGATTTTTTGGTAGTTTGTGTTTTAGCTGATAATTTTAAGTTTATTTCCTTTTTAATGTAAGAATATTTGGACAGATACTGAATCTTATTTTAAAAATTTTCTTATATTTTCATCTGTCAAATCAATACTTAAAAAAGTACAAAAAATAATATTCAATTTTTCATAACACAAAAAAATTATAACTCTAATAATATGTTTTTTTTTCCCGTTGAAGATGATATTTTATTATTAATAGAATTTTAGTTAAACATGAACTCTAAAAAAATATAAAAATGTCTAAAAGAATTTATGAAAATAAATATTAGTGGATGAAGTTAGAACAATATATTTTTATTTAATTTTATATATATATATATATATATATATATATATATATGCGATTGAACATGTCTACAGCCCATGTCCAAATCCATAATCCCATTTTGCATGTAGGAATGAACTTTCTTATTTCTTTGGACCAAGGTTTGTTGCCACAGTTGGATAGAGCCCAATGAAGTCCAATGCTGGCAGAACTTTTCATCACAAAGGCCCAATTTTTTTCTAACTTTCTAAATGCCCAAGCCCAGCTAAGAAGTGAAGCCCATTACTTTGCACAATACCATAATTACAATTCATGATGTGGAAATTACTTAATTCCAAGGATTTAAAGATGACAATTCAAAATTTTGGAATGAAGTTTCAATTATTCACAAATAAGCTATCAATATAATACAAACCCTAACTTTAAATCATTTTTCTTCTCCCTCTCTACCTTTCTCTGTTCTCTCTTCTACGCAGCGACTCATTCAAACTCCGGCAACCAACGACGAAGGAGTTGTGCAATCCGTCAACGTAGCGTTGCGACGATTTTAGGTTTTTCTCTCTTTCCAATCTGAGGACGTTGTTAATATGGGCAATAGTATCATGCAATGGTGGTGAGGCGGTGATTTGGGGATTATTTGGTAGACCTGGTGGTTGTGGTCGCAAGAAGATGTGGTGGCTCTATGCACGGCATTGTCGAACATCGTCTTTACACGCCAATAATTGTTGGTGGATGTGATGGTGCAGCACCTCCAAATCTAGATACCTAGATTTTGAAATATTATCATTTCATTTTCTCTTAAAATCATAAATTCGGAAGCGATTAAATTTTCCTTCAATACAATGGATATCATTAACTTCATTTATGAACATAACTTGTAGAAAACTTTTGCACTTAAACTTTTGCACTTAAATTTGAAAAAAAGCAATAAGATTAAATGTTAACTTTTCTTTTTTAAAAATAAGTCAATGTTTACATATATCGGTACTGAGTCCATCGCGCCGCAAGTAGTTGTCTCAAATCCTCTTCTCTTCTTCATTTGAAAATGGGAACGAATAACGTGGGATGAATTAATGTCTAGTGAGCAAACCTCATGCATATAATGCATGGTTATGATATGCACATGAATTACATTAAAACAAAAAGCATTTTTCAATATGTATCCCTTATTTTCATTTCTTTAAAAACTTAACATTTGGAATCTAATCAAGTCTTACTGGTAGCACAACAAAGCGGTTAACACTAACATTGAACATTGGTCGGGTGTGCCGGTTCCCCTGCCCATTTCTCACTCACACCTCTCATAACATAGACATACACCTCGTAATAAAAATATTTGGGATACATATCTTTTAAAAACATTCATTGGCTCCTGACATTTGGGAACTTTTTATTCCTTGAAATTTCATATACGCTTATGGATGCATTGACATGCATGAATATGTAATAAAAATCATTAATAACATAAAATGTAATAGTCAAGATCACGTAATAACAGATTTTATACATTTATTAATGTAACGTGTGCATGAAGATTGTGAGAGGTTTATTTACCTGAAATCCTTAACAATTTAGTTTTAGCATACAAGACATAGATGTTTGTAGCAATCCACAAAATGAATTTGCCGAAGAGTCCTAGATCACTACCATTTAATATGAAATTCTGACATACTTAATTTATATAACTATGCAGACATATCCTTAAATATCAATACCCTTATTATTATTATTATTATTATTATTATTATTATTATTATTATTATTATTATTATTATTATTATTATTATTATTTTACATATTTATTTATAACTCGTAGATAACAATATATTACATAGACAATTTTAAATGGGAGCATGCGATAAACATTGTGGCGTGCAAGTTGTGAAAATAAGATTATGTGCTAAGGTTCGTTTACTTCATCATTTCACACTAACCATCTAATAAATATCAATAAATCATGAATATTCACTATTAATTATTCTAGAAGATTATGTAAGCACATATAAACCAAAATGTCTCCATGTTCTAACTATTATTAATAAATAATTTGTATAAATCTCAGCTTATAAAATCATATCAATTGAATCTCAACAATTTCTAACAAAGCGTGTACCTAGAGACGTGGATTCATTTTTATATTTATTTTTCTTTATATGTTATATATAGATATTGGGCATCAAGTTATGAAAATAAGTATTTCATATCAAGAATGATAAAGAACACCTCTTTGAACACAATAGATCTCCAAAAGGCCAATATTTAATCTAAAAATTATATGTTATAGAAAATTAATGATAAACATTTATATTTATCATTAAGGAAATCATAAATTAGAATATAACAAATACAGAATGCTAACCTCAAAATTAATGAAAAGCGTGAAGAATTATGAAGTTTCCAGTATCGATAACTCTCGTCCGTCTCCTTTTGGTGTGGTGTAGGATTGAAGTATAGGAAAAATAATTTAGCTATAGAAAGGTCAAAACAATAAATAGTGATTGGGAGGGATTAAATTGGAAGATTTATGCAATGTGAATTTTAAATTAGTAAAATCTTGACTTTCATTCTTAGATAAATAAAATATGGTAAATTTACAAATAAAAACTCTTTGAAATTTGCTCCATTGGGAGATAATGCCCCGATTATTGACTTTCTATTAATTAAATTAAATAATATTAAATTTACTTATTATAAAAAGTCTTGAATTTTTCCATTCATATGTAGATTAATTTTCGTAATAATAGTACGTTATAAAACCGTAGACATATTAAATAACACGTTTTACTCTTTGTTTCATTAAAATTAATCCCAATAACAATAAAATTATTTATTAAGTACACACTAAATAAACATTAACAAAACACAAACATCTATCAAGTAAATCATATGTGGCGTTACTCATACATAATCTATTCGAATATAGTAATTATGAGAATGAAGCACGTGGTATTACAGTTGGTGTGGTGCAGGGGGCTATGGTAGTGGTGGTCAATTTTGGGCGGTTGTATGGTGGTGGTTGATTTTGCTGTTGTTGGCAATGGTTATGATAGTTTTTGTTGGTGGTGTGGTGCAGGCTCGTAATGGTCTTTGTTTTGGTTGGTATTGTGGTGGTTGTGTGGCTACTGTCGATTTTTTGTTGTTGGCATTGGTTGTGGTGAGGCAAGGGGGGTGGTCGATTTGGAGGTGGTAGGTGGTTGTTGGAGCAGGATGTAGCGGTGATGTATGTGGTGGAGCTGCTGGCGATGGTGGTGACGATGTTGATCTGGCGACAATTTTTGTGTAGTGGTTGCAGGTGGAGGTGGTGACGGTGGTTGTGTTGATCGACGATGCTAGAGGCGGTTGACGATGGTGATGACAGTGGTGTTGGTGAGGGTGGTCACAAGTGGGGGCGGCAGTGGTGGTGGATAAACTATGACCTTAAAATTTGATAACTTTTGATTGAAATATAATTTATGTTCAACGAATTTGAAAATCTGTGATCGATAGATAAACTGTGATTCGTAATTTTTTTAATTTGTGACAAACGAAATAGATTGTGATCTATAAAATTTTTGATTTGTAACCAATGAAATAAGATGTGCCTATAAAATTTTTGATTTGTGATCTCAAAATAATCTGTGACCTACAAATTTTTTAATTTTTGACCTCGAAAGTCGAAACAATTTATGATCAATTAATTTGATAATATGTGACCAACAAAAAAATTGTGACTTATAATTATGTTTATGTGACCTTAATTGTATAATTGTGATCTTATTAAATTTAATTAATAAACATTTTTAATTAATTAGTTAATAGCTGAGTTTTAAATTTTGAAACTTTATCACCTGAAAATTTAATTTGTGATACTTGATCCATGACTTTTGATTTTTTCCCATTCGTCACTCTATTTCAACCCATTCCAATTCCATCCATTCCCCAATTCTACCCGTTGCCCATTCCGTGGCGTCAGCCTCCGCGGCGCCGCCCACTCCTTCCAGTCCCGTCTTCCCCAGCGCAGTCTCAACCTCCTCCTCCCCTGCTCTCCGACTGTCCCTGCTGTTCGAGCCCTAGACGGCTAGACCGTAGACGCACTTGCAGCAGCAGAAGCAGACGTCGGCGATTTTTCGGAAGCCGGCGACTCTAAAGTTTGATCCTGATATAAAAAAGGGGTGGGCTTTTTTTTTTTTTTTTATCTTTTATTGAGCTTTATTTTGAACTTTCACTTCGATTCTCTCTGTTTTTCTTGAAATGTATGTTTTTATTTGTGTGTGGTTTTGTTGAAATTCGCTCACTTCTTTTTCTTGTTAGAAAGTTCGAATTTTGAATTTTTTTTTTTTTTAGTCTTCTTTACATCTTTAACTATTGATTCTTCCTGTTATCTTGATTATTCTTGTATGTGGGCATCTATTGTGTTTTGAAATTCCTCACAAATTTGAGGTTTTCAGAAGATGGTGGTCTGTTTTGTTCTCCTTTTTTATTTTAATTTAGGATTTATGGTATCTTTGGCAATGGAGTGTTTTAAATTTTTCATTTACTGCTTTATGCTCAAGTCTAAAAAATGGGGCTGGACTTTCATATTTTTTTAACATTGCTTAAATCTTACAGTCTTGGTGAATTTTCAATTTTGAAGTGAGAATTCTGGAAATAGTATTGCTCTATGAAATTGTGAAATTTTATTGCCCTGTGAATGTGAATTGCTTATAGTATTGCTATGTGAATTGCCCTGTGAAGTGTGAATTGCTTTGTTTTTGCTTCCAGTATATTTTGATTTTGTTTCTATCATTTTGAATTACTCCCAGTAGTAATCAAAGTATGGAAACTCGCAAGAAACAAGTGTAATATATGAACTGTGTCATTTTTAGTGTTGTTGTAATATTGTTTTATATTTTTATCATCATTAAATCCATGACCAAAAACTCGACGTTCGGCGATGATAAAATTTGTGCCCTCGCCGAACGAATATCCTGGCTCCGCTTCTGCTTTAACCATTATTTTAATAACAGTCTGGCATGGTTTGATCAAGTTTTTCATCATAATTATTTTTGTAGCATCACCATATTTTCAATGTCATAGTTCTTATTTAAACTGTTATTTTCAAATTATCATATCTTAGCTTAAAAATGCATTTTTTAAAATTCTGTGACATTTTTGAAATTTTGAGAAGGTTAAAATTCAAAGATTAATCTCACTACTTCATATTGCCTTGTTGGCAAATTAATGAATTGTTGTTACTTGCCTATTTAATAAATTTCAGCCCATGCGTCCTAAATTCCTGAATCCGCCCTCCAACTCATAAAAATTCAAGACTAGTAGCTTATTCTGTTTGTGCTGTTGTACAAAACCTGTTCAATTTTTAATATTAGGGCTTGTCTTAAAAATTGGATTTTAAAGTAAGTGGTTGTTTGACATGTAAAGAGAGGTGCAGGTTTCAACAGATCGAATTGGATTCTAAGTTTGTTTGGTACTATTTTGATCTGTTTTCCATTTCCATGCTGGAACTGCATCTCTGAAATAAAAGTATGTTTCTTTGTTCACCTAAGTGAAAGTTAAACTGTCATCTTCCAGTGTCTTTTGCGGCAATGCAAATTGTAGGTAATTTTTTTAGGATTCTGTCATTTAAGCAAAGGAAAATTGATCTATCATATAGTTCTGCGGCTAAGGGTCTATAGTTGGACCACTTTTATAGAAGCACCATGAATGGGATGAAGTTTTTGCATATTCATAGTTTGAATTGTTCTGGTCACAACAGCAAAGTTTTTCCCTGCCTCATGAGTTGAGTTGAGCATTTTCGCTTCTCATTAAGTGCTTAATATGGCACCCTTGAAACTTTTTACTGCCTTACTTTTTATTCTGAAGCCAAATTAAGAAAAGCAATAGATTAGTGCTTAGCATATGCTAAGAACTTGCATATGCTTGTTGCTCGGTTATTTGTCAACTGTGTTATTGCATTTCTCATTGTATGTATTGCATTTGTTGATGGGTTCCAATGAACTTTTTTCTTACGTTTTGTACGAAGGAAAAATTTCACATTGCACGTATAGAGGTGTTAAAAAGGGCCGTGTTGGGGCTGATGTTTTCTGCATGATGAGAAGTCAGTGGTCTGGCTCGTTTGAAAACTACATTAATGGGCTGTGTATTGGGGTGGTATCATAGAGAATGAGCAACAATATTAAATGCAATGCAGGTACAAATATTACGAATTTGTTCTGTGTAACTATTGGGGCTTGGCGTGGTCCATGCCTGGATAGACCACTGGTCTAGTTTTCAGTTTGCCTTTGTTGTTTTCAGTACCACTTGTTTTCAGGAACTCGATCATTATGGTTTAAAATTTATGCCATGAAATATCCAAAAAATGTCTGCCCGGACCATTTATTTGGACCTTTTAAATTCTCAAAAAATTCTGCTGAATATCATCAGCTTGGCGAATAACTAGGACCGTGATGAGCATTTAGACAGACATATTAAGATTGATGCCTAAGAATTTTGGAAGGTGATACTTGGGAATGGATTTATTGTTGGGGGATATTTGAGGGCAGCAAGTTTTTTAGTTGCCATGTCAAATTAAGCAAGCAGCATGATAAAAAATTTATTCTAAGGGCTAAATTTATTATTTGTGTTTAATATAATATTAATATGTAATTTATATGTTAATTTGATTGAATTTTTCTTTCCTGTTAGATATCATTCTACTCATTTAACACCTTCCTTGTTTGTGGATCCCTTGCACGTCCATAGCTCATAATTGATGGAGATTCCTCATGAAATGATCATCTTAGCATTCGTTACACATTGGATATGCAAGTTTCTTGATGGTTGCAATGTTGTCGCAACATCAATTTATGTAGGTGACCTGATCACTAAGTAGAACTCAGTCATGGTATATTTGTCCCTAGGATTTTTACAGTACTCGCAGTAGTGTCCATCATGAACTTCACATACGGCTTTTGTAGGAGGAATGCAAAACCACTTTGATTTTTCTCGACTTACTTAGATGTAGAGAATTCTGGGACAGTTTGAGTCGAGCACATAGCAACCTTAGATTTAGTAACTGATGAACCGCTTGAAAGTAACTTGAGAGGAACAGGAATTATGCCATTCTCAGCAGAATAGTATTGAAGTTTTTTATGAGTAGGAATTTGTGAACCGGATTAGTGTCCTGCTCTGTTTCTTAGTTAACCATGTCATTGTAGGGGACTAGGGGTTGAGGTAGCAAATATTGAACTTACCATGGAAATTAACAAAGGAATTATTTTTTTAACTTGTTTATTCATCACATTCTTAATTTTAATATTTCATTGATCAAAATTTTTATCTTTAATTATAATTTTTGTCCAAAATTATTATTAACGTAATTTAAAATGAGATCACATTTTTTTTAATTACTAATTTATTTAAAAATATAATGAAGAAATGAGTTTTTTCCTTTATCTTCATAATATTTTTTAATGAAGACAGTTTTTACTTTATCTTCATAATAAGATCAATTTATATTAATTTTAAAAGAAGACAATATCGGGTTGGTCCCAATATCACCACAATCTCCAATCTTCAAACTCACATCTCGGCACCACCCAAACTCTGGGAAATTGTCGCCACCACCCTCCATCCCTGCGGCAAACCCCACAGACTCAAAGCCTGAAATTCCTACCCTGCACTTCAGTTTCTTCCTTCTCTTTAGGGTTTCAATGTTCTTTATTACTAACTCGAGTACACCCTCTTAGAGTCTTCAAGAAAGAAAAATCAGGTCGGAACAATCAAATTCAATCACTAAAAGAACTAACGATCGCAAGAAAAGTACACATATTAACAAGGTACAGATTTCCTTTCGTTTATTTTTATTTTTATTTTTTTCGTTTTCTTTACATTTTAGTGAGATATATTGAATGCTTCTTGTGAAATTTTTTAGACAGATGAGGAAAGAGGTGAAAGAAAGGATATTTTTATGTCTAGGTGATTGCATGTTAGTCATTTAAAGAGTCACAACTTGTCCAAGGTTGAGCGAGTAAAAAATTTACACAACAAATCTTAATCAAGGCCTTGTCAACTAGATTAAATTGTCTAAAGGCCTAAGTTTTATGTGTTTTGGATCTCTGCTATCATCTCCTTGGTTTGTAAGTAGCCTAATAACTCTCTCATGCTTTTAAAACCATATTGATTGCCCCAATCCGTCAACATGATCTGCCTAATGATGTTAAATCTTTTCATCTCCAAAGATAATTGACAAGGTTTTGAAATCACCAATGAGTTATTTCTAAACCATAGGGAACTCGGTGGGAACATAGAAAGAGCAGCTATGAAATGGTGTAACTCTATCTCTCCAAAGTATATGGGACCATAGAAGATGGTTTGTCCTTGCGTTAAAACAGAAATTTTGTCAAGAGTAAGAAGGAAATTTCACGTTAAATTAAAAATAGTTTTGGGAAACAAATTTCGTATATCAATTGATGGCAGCTATTTTTAGATAATGACTAATGTATCTAGCACTTAGTATTGATCTCCTTCAACGCTTCTCTCTCACCGATTGATTTACTTTCCAGTCTAACATAACTTACGACGTATATCTGTTTTATCTGGTTTCCTATCACAGGCTTACTTGACATAACCTACAGATGTACATTTAGGTACGAGGGGGACTTGCCGTCTTGGTATGCAGATTCACATTATTTACTCTGATTTTGTGGACAACCATTTTATGCCAATGCTCTTTTGTTTGAAATGAACATCTTTTATTTCTTCCATTTTCTATGGGAAAGAAGGCTTTCATTATCACTGTGTTTTGCTTTCCACATGAAACCTAATTGCCTTTTTCTGCTTCATGCTAAACTACAGAGTCTGTTAGAATGGAAGCTAGCATTGGTAGGAGGTCTTCTCCAACCCGATCGAAATGGAGAAAAGTTGCTTATGGAGGGATGCAGCCTGGATTTGAAGACAACCACACCGACGAATCTTTCCTGGAAGATATGATTATGAATGCCAGTGTTGTTAAAAGGGACTTGTTAAAGGTGATGCTAGACTCAGTTTCTATCTCTCAATACGTGTGCATTGTTGCTCTTGTGGTCCTGGTCTGGACCTACACCCTCAGATCTACCTTCAATGAAAACTCTCTCATGCTTCTTGATGTTATCCTTCTTGGAGCAGGATTCTTTGTTTTTCTGTTAACTGCCGAAATGCTATCTTTTGATCTTCTCCTCAGTTATGTTCTTAAAATCTTCTTTTTTATAACTGGTTTATATGTCTTGTCTCCTATTTACCACACATTGACCCGGTCCATAAGCTCGGATTCCATCTGGGCATTAACAGCTTCGCTTCTCATCCTCCATCTCTTTCTGCATAACTACTCTGGTTCCACTGTGAAAGCTCCTGGAGCTCTAGAAAATCCAACCTTTACAAGCAACATCTCCCTTAATGCTTCTATCGTGGCTTCACTTTTAATTGCCTCTCGCCTTCCATCAAGGCTTCATGTTTTTGCTATTGTGCTATTCTCCTTGCAAATTTTCTTATTTGCTCCATTGGTCAGTTATTGTATAAAGAAATGCTCTTTTCGTTTGCATCTATGTTTTTCTTTTGGGTTAATGGCTGCAACACTGCTTTTCGTTTATAGGTTGCATGGATTACTTTTTGTGTTATTGTTGGGTGTTTTGGTTTTTGTAAATTTAGTGGGTCCTTATTGGCTCATTAGGATTCAAGAGTACAAGTTTGAGATCAATGGACCCTGGGATGAGGCTAAGCTCTGTTTTAACATAACAGAATGAAACTTTTATTTGTTGGGACTTCTTGAAATGTTGAGAAGGAAAAAATTTTGTACACCTTCATGGTTTTCAAGTTTTTCGTACTTATTTTCTGCTGGAATCTGTGTGTAACACCAAAAGAAATTCCTATATTAGACCTTATTGTTCATTTGAAGTTTTTTTTTTTTTCTTTTTTATTATTATTATTATTTTGATTTGTTTATAAAATCTTTAGTCTACTTTTTATAATTATTTTTAGGTGTTTTAGTGTGAGGCTGTTACTTGATCTAGTGCAAGGATTTATCTCAAATGTTTCATGGTTTACGACCTTGGCTGGGTGGATTAAGATTTATCTAGTCGACACCTTGCTATATCCATGGTGAAATTTTATGTTTATCTAGTAAAAAAGCAATAGTAAGAGACTGTTTTTGGGTCTATGAAAGATGAGGGAAGCAATGTAGAGTAAGGTGGCACATGAAGCAAAACTGTATTTCCCTTGCAGAATTAGAGCTAATTGTAAAATTTATGTTCTGGTCAATACACTTTAGAATTGAATTTTGTTGCTCTTTTAGGTTGTCAATACATCTTCTATGAATGGTTACAAAATTAGTTTATGTAATCTAGAAATTGTCGAGAACAGAGAGTTTCCTACGGGTATGCTCCTTCAATCTGTCTCGATTCCTCTGGTTGGAGTTTTCGGACTACTCTTAGGAGAAGAATCCCTTCACTACACTTCTTAAGTAAAGGGACCTACGAACTCACTCATAAGGAGAGCTCATTAAGCAGGTCTTTCGAGCCATCTTGGCTTGTTCACGCACACCGAAATGGGAGGTTTCCTTTTCGACTGGTTAATGCCGTAGTTGATAGCCTGCCTCGGGAGTTCAGTTTCACAAGGATCCCTGCAACAAGCTCCATATAGAAGTATAACACGGGCTGGAATTTAGGGTGAATGAAATCAGGTGCAAGATGTATATTGAAATGAATATAACCACTTAGCCTAGCCTACAAATAGGGGAGTGAAGAGATAGGCTGATGTGTTATGAAATAATAGGGGGTTTTTGTTTTAATTTTTCAAATTGTTCAATCATGCGTCGACAATTATTCTATTTGGATTCGAGTCTGGATGTATGGCATGATTGATATTGAAATAAATACTGACATTTGTGTCGGCTGCTGTACTAACTCGTGTATCTCTCTGATATTATTCTGCCAATGCATACACCAGAAGAAGACCACTTATCGTGAAACTATCTGCATCTAGAAAATTAAGATTTCACTTTATATTATAATTAAATTTTCTAAGTTTGTTGTTGTTAATAGTTAGCATTATAGAGGAAATTTTTGTCTTCAGTCTCATTTTTTGAGGGGAAAAAAGAGCTTTGCTTGATGTAAATAATTTTTTGAACATGAAGGTGTCCTACATTCACATGGGGTGGGGTTCGTTCAAATATTTTATTCGAGTGGGCTCTACTCATGTGAATGTACGGAATGTACAAATAGTGTTATCCAAAAAAAAAAATGCGAGCAAAACTTCTAATGGAAAAGTACCTTGTATAACAGTCCATTCAATTTTTAATAGGGTTTTTTAACGCTTTAAGGAATATTTTCAATTAAGTCCTCATCATTTTTACATTATGATCAGTCATCTATTAATTAACAAAATATGTCTTAGTTAACGTTCAAAAATTATGTTAGGATAACAATTTTTTTGACGACAACTAGTCTTGGAAAAGCTCTGAGGAGTTTTTACATTTAAGTCTTTAGAGTATCTTCAAAAGATTCTTTGAATATTAGATGTTCTTTACAAAAGACTTTTAAATTACATTGAAATTTAAAGATTGCTTTTGGTTCTGCAAATTTTTTATAATTAAATGCATTCAAAATATTTCAATTTTCAGCGGTGAAAATAATATAATAATTTTGAGGAAAGTTTTTGAAAATAATAAATGTTTTTTGAAAATAGTAAAATTATGTGCTAAATATAAAGAATTTGTTAAAAATTTTAAATATTTTTATTCTTTAAATTGTCGAATATATTATATAAAAATAGAGATTTTCTTGATGTTCTTTCCATATTTTCATTATATTAGGATCAATTTTCCATTAATTAGCATAACATGTCTTGTTTAACGCTAAAAAATATGGCTAGCCTAATGTGTAACTAGCAGAAGCGTTACGAGTGTGGTAAATTATACGGTGTTGCTGCTCTATCAGGGTGGGGTCACCGAATACTCACATACAAGGAGTGGTGCATTTTTGGGTATTATTTTAATGAGATCGAGACCCACTTCACGTGAGTAATCAGTACAAAATTTGGTACAGATAGAATGATGGAATAATTTTATCCTGATTTATAGAAAAGTATGCTGCGTTATGAGCTGGTCCAGATTCAGCTCATTTCCCACTGTGTGATTGCTATCCATAAAAGACACATTTCAATAAATCTATAGCTTTAAAAATTTAGCTTAGAGCCTATTTAAGCTCTATTT